CACTCTCAATGCATAACAGCCCCCTGTCTCAGGTAGGACAGCAGACTGACTGAAACCTCTCAGATTGCAGCTCCACAGTGTGGTGGCTTGGTGAATTACAATACTTTCTTTCAGTCTCTTTTTTTCCTTCTTATATAATAATAGTTCCTTACACTTCTATTGCGTGTTTCTGAACACTCCACTTAACACGCTTTACAGGTAATGGGGTCTCCCCTCCAACACCACCAATGTGCAGCCCCACCTGGATGACGCGACAGCAGCCACAGTGCGTCAGTACGCTCCTCACACATGAGCTATCAGTGGGTTGGAGAACAGAGTGATGAAGCCAGTTCAGAGATGTGAATTTTTAGGAGGCCATTATTGGTAAAGACCAGTGGGAAATTTGGCCAGGACGCTGGGGTACCACCCAAGCACTTTTAGAGAAACGCCCTCCGATTTTTAATGACCCCAGAGTCAGGACTTGTTTTACTGTATGTCAAGGGAGCCGCCTTGTTTACAGTATAGTGTCCCAGTCACTATACTGGGGTATAAGGACCCACACGGATTGCAGAGAAATTCCCACTTCCCACTACTGGTTCCACTTACACCACTTCCAGCAGCAACCTTAGCCTTCCCAGGAAAGGCTCACACCTGCTTAGCATCAGTGGGTTTCCAGTTGTGAGCTGCAGGGTTATGTAGCTGCTAGCCAGTAAAAACTAAAAACACTTACTGATTCATTGCTTTAGCCTCAGTAGCCACTGCACTTACTGTATATGTTGATTTAAAATTGTGTCTTATTTTGTAATGACTGTAAATCAGCAGTAACACTGAGCTTATTTTTGAGCAGTATGTGGTGCAGATTGAATGAAGTCAGTTATTTTTTCCATATTTTATTTTGCACCCTGAAACCCTTATGTTAATTAATGGACTCAAAAGGAGTTGTGTGTTCTTTAAGGTTCCTCAAGGCTCAGGCAGTGTCTAGTGACCGTGTCAGGAAGGTATGGTAACATGGTGTTTCCTGCCGCACAGGAGGAGCGCCGGCCAGCCAGCAGGGGGGCGGGGGGCAGCCCTCGGCGCCCCTCGGACAGCCCGCGGCTGGGCTCCGACACGGACGACATGCTGTGCGAGGAGCTGCTGCAGGGCCCCGACAGTGCCTCCTCCGGCAGCAGTGACAGCGGGGAGGGGGGCCCGTGGTATAACGGCCTGCCCCCCGCCGTGTTCAGGACAACCGAGGAAGACCTCCTCCAGCAGGTGCCTCTCCCCTCACCGGCAAACCTCTCAAGGCCTCTAATTCCCAGCATGTCAGCTAACTTTAACCAGCTTTATCTAGAGAGTCAGACGCGTAGCTGTTTCTTTCAGAGAGCACCTCTCATGTTAATGGTGTATCTATAAAGACCATGCCGTCACTATGAATTATGAATCCATTTATAAATTGATATTGCCTAGAAATAAATTCAGAACTGTTTTTTCAGGGGTAATACTGAGTAGAGTGAATGGAGGTGGAATGTTTCAATTTGTATAATTGATGATAACACCATCACACCAAAGATTTAAAACTGCACATGGAGAGGGCTTTTATTTTTTAACTAAGTGTATTGTAGTGAAGGTAAAAAGTGTCTCTCCAAGCAGAGTCACCTGTCCTGGCTACAGTCATGCCACCCCTCCACAGACAGAGTGAGCACCATCGTCTGGGAGAATGGAGAGTGCAAGAAGGTGGACATGTCAGTGTTGGAGATCAGCGCCGTCATCATGAGCCGGGTATGTCTCCCAAGGCCGTTAGCATGCTCCTTCATTGCCTGCCCCTTCAAGTGAGACTGAGACCATCCTGAAGGACTATTCATTAAGCATGTAAACCTTCACTTGTTCCTTTGCAGCCTACCCATGCTGACATGGCTACCTACTTGAACTTCTTCAATGTACTTCTGCTGCGACCCACTATGCCTTCCGCTTGATCTTTTTCTAGATCTCTTCGTCATTCCTTCACCTCTTCCCTGAGCTACTTTCCCCCTTTCTCTCACCAAACCTCCATCCTGACAGCTGAAGAAGGCTCCACAGCTGAAACTGTGTGTTTCTTTTCTTCTCTTTTCAGCAGGGATTCAATTTTTACATGATTCATTAAGTCATGAAATGGCCCTCACTTTTTTTTTTTTACTGTAGCTGTGTTACTAGAAACGCTGATCCTAGACCAGCTAAGCCTGCTTGTGTTTTGCTACGTGGGTGCGGAGGTATCAAGTGTTGACTGTTGCCCCTCTATACAGGTGAAGGATGAGGAGCAGGGTTTGGGGTACCTGATGCTGGGAGGAGGGGTGACGGTAGTGCTGGCGCTTCTGCCCCTCATCTTCCAGATGACCAGGCAGCTGGATGTGGCGCTGCTGGCTTCTCTCTCAGCGGCGGAGCTCCTGCATCTGGCCTGTGGGCCCCCCGACCCCCGGGGTTACACCCTGCTCCTCATCACCCTGCTGGAGCGTGTGTGCCTCTCCTGGCTCTTCTTCTTCATGATGTGTGTGGCCGAGAGGACGTACAAGCAGGTGAGCGGCCGGGCTGAGCTGGGAGGTCCTATCAGGGTGGCATTAATTGTCACTGACAAGTAGGCCCTGTTAGATGAAAGATTATCGGCCATAATGAACAGGGGAAATCTCCAGTGTCTACCTTTGCTGTCTAGAACCTTTCAATCTAACCTAAAATATTTTATAATAATTGTTTTGATCTATAGGGACATGAGAAATCTACGTGGACAGTATCTTATTGATCCAAGGATCTTATCCAGCTATTTCATGATTTTTGTTTTCATTTTTGTATCTTATTTGCTGTTGTCGTGCACAGCACAGCAAGGTTTATTGGTGTGCAATGTGCTGAATGTATAATATACACCATTTTAATAAATATCTTGCTATACACAAATGCAGGGAGAACAACTATATACTATATTTCAGTCTTGCAAGAGACAAGAGTGTTGCCTTCACAACAGAAACGCTCTTAGTTATGCCTCTTTTCCCTTTATCCCAGAGGCTTCTCTTTGCCAAGCTCTTCAGTCACCTGACATCTGCCCGCAAGGCCAAGAAGTCTGAGATACCGCACTTCAGACTGAAGAACGTGCAGAATGTGAAGATATGGCTGTCGCTTCGTTCCTTTCTCAAGGTAGCAAACGTGGTTCTGACCATTTGTTTAGTTCAACAGTAAAAAAGAATGGCGCCAGTCGGTAACACGATGTTTTTGTGTGTCCGTAAATTGAAAAACATGGCAAAAGCCACTAGTACTAGAAATTTTAAAGTAGAATATAAATATACTTAATTTTTGCGAACTATTTGAACCCTTTACCACATTTGGTGGGACTACTTCTCGTCCCAGATTCAGGAGTGGAAGCTATGAATGGTGGCAGCTGTTTATTTTGAGTGGTCAGATGCGTGTAGCTTGTCTGCCATTGTGGGATCACATGCTGCTCTATCACACACTAACCGTGATAGTGATCCCTCTTGCTGTATGACTGGAAAAAAAAGCCCCTAAAATGTGAAAATAAATGTGGCCAATAGGCTGTGAAACATGTCGTGCCCATGGAGAATTTTTTGATTTGGTGGAGGAAAATGATGTTTTCAAATCAGTGCTTTGGTTCAAGGTAAACGAAACAGCATTTTATTGTTCAGTAATCCTTTTTCATTGCAACATATAACATTATGGTCATTGATTTTATTGTGTTTAGTAAGCAAAACGATTACCTAGCTGTCTGGGAGGTTGTCTTCCCAGACAACCTGTCAAGGTTGTCTTACCACAACCTTGTGAACCTAATCTTTTTCTCCCCTAAGTTAAATGTATTTGTCAGCTGCTGTTTTCTTATCCACAGGGGTTTTTAAAAGTCTTAATACCCATGGTTGACAAGGGGCTATTGTATAAAATATTCCTTTACACCTGCTGGAAGGCGATCAGCAGTTCTTCTTGTGATTTTACGATGTTCTGCACCTGTTGCTTGATGGCAACAGTGTAGTGTTCCTCATCTTGACATAGCACTTGTTCTTGCAGAGACGTGGACCCCAACGCTCTGTGGATGTAATCGTTTCCTCTGTCTTCCTGGTCGCACTGTCAATCGCCTTCGTCTGTTGTGCACAGGTCAGCCAGCTTTAAAAACTTTGAAGCAACTCGAGAAAAGGTTGCTTGTCCACAGATAAGAGCCAGCAGGCAGGTGTTTGTGCATTTACGTGTGACTTGGGTTGTTTGAGGTATGCCATTGTTTGCCACTATCTCACTATGACAAAAAATAATTGATCAGGCAGAAACTGGGAGATATGGTTGACAATAAAACCCAGCACAAAACAATTGTCTCTTCAGCCCAACATGATCTTTTTCTAGTACAATGTTCTAGATCAATGTTATTAGCAACTGGTATTTTATTTGATAAAACTGCCTTTGATATGTACTGTAATAACTATGCTTGTATTTCCTGATGTAGATGGTCATTCAGATGGGTGACGTACTGTTACAAAGGTGCACAAAAGGGAAAAGTGTACAATTTCATTGGTTATGTTAAATAGTAGAAGAGCTTATTGCAATATGGCTAAATGACTACAAGATACTTTCAGAGCTCATCTTTTGAGTTGGAATTTGCTCTCTTCCTAGTTTCTTCAAAGTCATCACACGTTCCTTGACTCCATGTATAACTGGGAGCTGCTGATCTGGGAATCGTCTCTCGTCATTTTCCTGCTGCGTCTGGCCACCCTGGGCTCTGAAACAAACAGGAAGTACAGCAACATGTCAGTATTGCTCACTGAGCAGGTAGGGCTCCGGCATCATGTGACATATAGCTCGTGTCCACAGGCAGTGTGAGAATTTCTGTTGTTTTCTTTCAGTCAATAACTGGCACAAGAATCATTGTACAACACTTTGTCATTTTACCCACACAGAAGTGAAACCAGTGATCTCGGCTGTTTGAGATTCTCCAGCAAAACTGTTCAAATAAGTAATTTTTTTTCCCCCCATCAGATCAACTTGTATCTAAAGATGGAAAAGAAACCCAGTAAGAAAGAAGAGCTGAACATTGTGAACAATGTGTTGAAACTGGCTACAAAACTGATGAAAGTAAGAAGTGAAGACTCCTCTTAATCTGTAAAGTGACACTGTCAGTGGATAACAAGTTCTTAGTGCTTTGCCAGAATCACCTTTAAATCAAGACAAGTGCAAACATAACCCAGTGATAAAGCAAAACAGTATTGTATATTCATTTGAAAAAAGCATTTTTTCTGTCTAAAATTCTGTGCCTTAACTGGCAGATTTTAGTTTTGTAAAATTGTGACCACTTTTAAATTCCCCAAGAAGCATGTTGATACACTATATTCATTCTACACAGTCCTTTCCTGAACTCCAGTTTGCTTTTAGCTAAAATTCTATACCCTTTTCCATTTATGTGTAGTAGTTATTTTTGGACGTTCAGTAGATTGATAAAGACTTTTTCTTCAACATGTATTCTTCAATAAATTCATTGGATAGTGGCATTTGTTGTAAAAAAGGTGTTGACAGATTTAGTTTGTGGGCGCGTTTTGTGCATGATGTGGAGTTGTACAAATTCTGATTCTTGAAAACAAAGTTCTGCCTGTTTTGTTAGGTGTATTTAAACTTTCAGTGGCCACAGAGCAGAAAGCAATAGTGATTTGCTCTTTGTGCAGTTGTGGTCATTGTGCAAATGAAGTGCCTAAGATCTCCCCATGTGCAGTGATGCCTTCAGATTCTCACTCTGTTCCCTGCCCCTCAGGAGCTGGACACTCCCTTCAGGCTGTATGGACTGACGGTGAACCCACTCATCTATAACATCACTCGGGTGGTCATTCTGTCTGCGGTCTCAGGAGTTGTCAGCGACCTCTTGGGCATCAATATTAGAGTGAGTAACACAAATCAGCAGGTCAATGGTGTGAGCATATGGTTTCAACCCCAAATCATTCACCATTTGCTTTAGTGTTTCATCACATTGTTGTGCTTGCTGTCAGTTCAAAGTAGGAATCATGTTTCAAAATCTAAGCATGCAGATCATGACTGAGAAGCAAAGAAAGTTTCACAGATTTAAAATTAGATTCTTAGATCCTGTTCAATTAATACAAATACAAATTCACAAACAATCTTGCAAACTTAACTAAAAACATACATTTTGAATGTCTGCAATGCATTAACTTTGTTTTGGGTGCTTAGTATATTAAAACTGCTGTGTTATGTTTCATTTATTTCAGCTGTGGAAGATTAAGCCTTGATGTGAGACTACAGTTAGAGCTCGGAGCTGTCTGGATAATGGACTTGGGTCTGAACTTCCCCTGAGAGACGGAGCCATAAAGGTGTTGGGCTAGGTGGTCAGAAAGCTCTTCCCACCTTCAGACAAACCCCTGAAAGCAGCATGTCAGTTTGCACAATGCTGGAATAGACTTTTTTGTCACGCATACAGATAATAAGCGTAAATAAAATAAGCAAAGAAACGATTGATAACTGATTCAGCGTATCTCTTAACCACTCAAGGCTCTAAAAGTTCAAATTAACTTTTGGAAGTCGTAATAGCCTGTAAATTCACACACAACGCTGAATCCTTAACAGATGGTGGAGAGAAACATAGACTATTCAAACCACACAGACCTAAAAACACAACTGTAAAAGATACTGCAACAGTATAATGTAATTTAATTTAATTTCTTAATATCTGGTGTGTGTACTAACTAGCAGCAGCATGAACTGTTACATTACTAGGAGTAGAATGGAAAGTACTTGAAAAATACATAGAGTATAGCTGTATAGCTTCTCAAACAGAGTACAGGGCATGTTTTTGCATTATTTGCAGTTGGCTTTTGGTAACATAAATTTCGGTAAAATATTTTCTGACACTGGTTTGCTGACCCATGCATGACCTATTCTTCTGTTGGCTCCACAAAATACATCATGCATGTCAGACTACTGAATTAGGTAGTGAAAAGATTTAATCTGAAATATGTGGGCAGTTTAGGGACTGTGAGAGTCTAAAGTTGTGACATTCCTCGCTGTACCCACAGTTAAAGTAACACTGAACTTTTATTACCTTAAATTTGCTTCTGTGTCATCCCATTGAGGTAATTTTTTATACAGTATGTGTCCACTTAATTTCTACAGTTTGATTTGTGCCTGTCTTCCATACCATATGTCTGCTTTTTTATATTAAATTGCTGAGTATGTTTTCTTCACATTTATTTAGATAAATACAGATCTGTGGTCTTGGATAACCTGAATATTTAATATATTTAATATATTTTGTCTAGTATGTATTGGGTATCTATAAACATCCTGACAGGCAGGTGGTCAAAATCCCAGGTCAACAGTAACTAAATCTGCTGCTCACTCCATTTAATTTTGACAAATACCCAGCATTCATAACCAAGGCCCTTCCTCCTTTTTCCTAGAAGGGAGTAAAATCATTTTTAAATTTTGGAATACCTATTTATTTTTATATTCATTCCCACTTCGTTTTGAATCGCCAGTTGAAAATGGCTTAGCTTTATGGTGGCAACTTCCTTACCACAAGGGGGAGAAGGAGATGCATTTGACCACAGAATGAGATACGCCACTGACACTCCCCACTGTACAGCTGTTTGTCATTTATACATTACAAACTCCGCAGTGCCTTACCGGAGAGTTTATGCCTTTTGAAGTAGCCTGCCTGTTGGTAATGTCACTGGAGTTAGTTTGGTAGAAAGCTGAAAGAGCCCATGCCAATCAATTTCAGCCTTCCAGGCAGCTCAGCCCCTGCTTCTGGGAGACCCCTCTTGACAGAAGGCTAGACCCATGACCCAGTCTTGAGCTGGCAGTGCCAGGGCCATAGGGTTCTGCCTCCAATCTTAATGGGCAACTTAATAATACATGCCACTCTTTTGTTAATTAAACAAATGCAGAGCCACTGATCCAGTAATACCTTAAGTTTATTAACACCAGAACATTACAAGTGGGTAGAAAATGCACAATTACAGATGTGCAGAGCAGTGCAAAATTCATCATGTATAAATACTAATGTAAGTATTTGTAAACCAATTAGCCATTTGTTGTGTAAATCTTTGTAAATCTTTTTGTCTGAGGTCAAAGTGATTCAATTACATCCCATTCCTTGTAACATCACACCATCTGCTTTCCGTGATTCAAGAGACACCAGATTCAGAATGTTCCCAGAAAACTCTACATTTGATACTTCACTCCAGAATTGGAAACCTTTTTAAACCTCTGTTATCCACTAGATCAGTTGTGTGTATTACAGGATATACTTAATTTACTCAAGTGAGTTGCCTCTTTTCACCCCTGCTTGGAAATTTCTCCCTGGGCTGATCTTTTTTGTTTAAACTAGCATTTGTTTTGGAACTTTGTCTCTTGGCTCACATGCAGGATAAGTACACAAGCCCCTCATAGACAACACCATTGGCACATCAGTTTACAACAGATATTCACTCATTAATTTGGATTAAAACAAACTATCCCTATTTATTGATTATATTTTTCCAAGTTTTGTTGAACACTGAATTATCTTAGTGAACTGTATGAACAATCACAGGTTTAATACATCCAAGTTCAGACTGGGAACACACAACATTTACTGTACGCCTACCTTTGAGATACTGTTACATGAAAGGTTTTCAGTCCCTAAGCACTGAATTGTAAAAGCAATACTTTGAGAAAGAAACAAAAGGTTTATTAAAAATGTTTTTATACATTCTGTTGTCCTGTGGTTATTGAGCATGCATAGCTGTACTCTTAATGGTGATTGCAGTAAGGGCAGCATTTAGTGCTTCTGTATGTTGACTTTAACCCACTTGTTTTGAGGATTGAAAGCCTGGCCACATGGATCAGATGGTTGTAACCAAAGAGTTGCTGCATGAGAAGTGGTAGGAATGATGGTGGAATGTTAGTGTAAGTGAGGCTGGGCGTGAAAAGTCTAAGAACCTTAATTGGAACCACAGAGAGTTTTAGAAGTTGAAAAGGGTGGCTTATAAATGTTATAAAGTATATAAAATGCAAACATAAACAAAAAGACTTCATTAACTTTTGATATCCATTTAAGTACAGAAGCACTGAAAGCATTAACACTTACTACAAAAAACATTATGTTCTTTGGTGTTTGTATCCAGACTTGGTGTTTGTTCTTCCTTAGTTCATGATCACAAGGTCAGGTTTCACTCAGGCAAGTTCAGGCAACAAAATAGTCTGTTTCCACATGGTGTATATTCTCATAGAGAAAACCTTGTCATACTGAAACTATGCAGATCTCCCAGAAGAGACACAACAGTTTGTTTTTTAAAGTGAATACTTAGAATGTGTTGTTGAGAGCCGGCAGATACGTTTCAATGTTGATTGCTCAACAGGTAGGGCTGAACTGGAGCAATTCATTTTGGTTCAATCTAGAATAAATATTGGTTTGAATCTTGGATGCACTGGAACAAGTAGCCCAAAGCCACATTTATATATGTAGACTATAATGTATTATTATATATATATATTCCTGGTCAAAGTTTAGTTTTGTCACTGGTAAACTGATATAACATAATGCAGTGATACTTTCTGAGCAGTGACACATATGGTAATTATTAACAACCAAATGACAAGGTTCAACCCAAAACAAACATCAAGTTTGGAAATGATGCATTCTTGTCTAAATCAATTTTGCTCCACCATATAAATGATAAGATACTTTTGTCTGCAAGTCCACAGTTGATTGAAAGAAAGAATAATGTGTGCATGTAGTTCTGTGTTTTGTGCTTTTAAATTGTGTCTTCTTCTGTGGTTGTGTTCTACGGAGGTGAGAGGTAAGTACAATACAAAACCTTTCTTCCTCTATCAGACTTCTGATCTGATATATTTGATATATTTGCATACTTTTTAGTGGCTGAAAACTAAAATAATATTTTAGCTTTCAGGACAAACAAGACCATAGTGCAGAAATTTTGTTCTGCTGGTAGGATTTGTTCATCTGTATTATTTTACAGGAGGGTTTAGGTTTATTTTATAAAGGTTAGTTGTGTGGAATATTGTTACATTTATTGTTCTAGCTGAGAACATAAAAAAGGTTATAATTGAGAGGAGGCCATATGGCCCACCTTGCTCATTTGTAATAGCTTTTAATTAAATTAATTGTAGTTAATTTAAATGAATTTTAGATAAATCCCAAGATTGCATCCAGCTGTTTTGTAAAAAAAATCAAGAGTATCTGCTTTGATACCAATGCTGGGAAGCTAATTCCACATTCCAAAACCTGATCTTGGTTTTAAATGCACTTCCACCACAGAAGTGAGATTAATTTCTAATTCTGTAACTGATTAGATAATTTGTGAAAAAAGTTAAGAGACTTCCAAAGTGATTGTATGAGTGTATTGTATGATGATACAGTATGATGATTGTATGTATGATGTATGATTGTATGATAAATTAAGACCAGATTTGATTCCTCTAAGAAAGGAATGTGATGGTTATTAAAAACTGTGTTTGTAAATGGAGGTTCAGAAGGTGTGGTGAGACACAGTAAAAATATACAGTATTTGTACACACATTGCTATTACCAATGACTGGAAGAATCTTCAATGCAATCTGATTTTGCCATTTATCTGATGGGTTTATCAGTTATGTGATTAAGTACTTTCTGGTTGATTCTTTCACTTTTTAACACTGCTGTGTCCTGTTATGTTATTACCAGTTTATTCATGGTTCTTTTTGTACTTTCACTGCTTCGTCTTCTGGAGTGAAGCTTCTTGGCCACGTCAACCCCCCTTGCACACTGTGTGACATGGGATAGTCTCCAGATTGCTGTTCCCTTGCCAGAAATAAGAAGATTTCTGATAAAGAATAGATGGACTAATTTGTTTATAAGCACATTTCGTTACAAAAATGTGGCAGATCCCAGAGTTAGTTATAAATTAAAAACAGATTCCCAATAGCTATTAGTGTTAATAGCAGTAGAACTAAGAGTGTTATTGCTAGTGCTGTTATTTCAGCTTCAGGAACACCAAACCAATATTAATGATTGGAGAACATTATCAGTGAATCCTGATCATCATCCATTCAGACAGGAAGTCTCAGTGCAAATTATAAATATAGTACTCCCACTCAGCACATAATGAACCTACTGAGACACCTCACCTGGCTTTCCGTTTGCAATGTGTTCATAACTCACACTGCTCGCATTCCTGGATACTCAAATCAAATTGCGGACTTTCATTTTTAACTTCAGAAAACCTAAATCACAGTTACGAGAGTCAATGTTGTTATTCACCACTGCTTATTCATACTATATGAGCTACAGTAGCTTTAGCACTGAACTCTTCTGGTCATTCATTTCAGATTGACACAGCATTTTCACAGTTTAATGAGGAATCTCTGTGCCCACACTCCAATCCTTTGATTTCCAGTCTCGTCATTCATACTGACCCACAAAAAAGCAAGCACAGTCTAAACTCTGCAGATGAACATTTCTGCACCAGCAATGTGGGGACCCACTCAGCCTACTGTACTGAGGGAACAATGACCAACAAAGTTTATATGTCATCCGGTTTTTCCCATTCAGAATCGTGGGGGAGCCAGAGCCTGTCCTGACAAACTAGGCTCCCAACAAGCAACGAGGACAAAGCAGGATACACCCTAGATAGGATGCCAGTCCATTGCAGGACATACACAGACTCATATCAGAGCCGATTTCCCCCGGTGTTAGTTAACCTACGGTACCAGTACATTTTTGGACTGTTAAAGTTAACTGAAGCACCCAGAGGGAACCCACACGAACAAGGGGAGAAGATTCAGACTCCGCATTGACAGCACCCTACGTCTAGAATCGAACCCAGGTCCCCAGTACTTTGAGGCAGCAATGCTAACCACTCCGCCACCATGCCACCATTTTGTATATCAGTCCAATTTAATTTATTCATTTATCCTTGCTGAATTTGTTTTTGACTAAGCTACTTGAATGGATTTTTACACACATGTTCCAGAGGAAGTCAACTCCCGGTGTAGTTAGTATAAGAACCAGGATTCCAGCATCACTACTTCACATCCCTCCCTCCGCCTATCATCAACCTTGCAGCAGCTCCCTGGCTTATTTCAAGTTAAAAAAAAAATCTTTGGAGGGAGACTGGGGTTCTGATAGGTGCACCCTTATAGTCAGGCTGTCATTCCTTCAACCAGGTAGGCTAAGTTAAGTCAATTTCTTGTTCTTCTTTTCCCTGAGTAGTGGTTCAAATGATGTAATCAAGGACTTGGATGGAATGTCCAGGTCCACTGTGGAGACCTTCTATTCCCTATTCACAAAGCATTTGTGGGGTTTTTGAACAAAAACCTGTTGCATTAAAATCAGAGAAGAGTCAGAGAAGAACAAGAACACCAGCCCTCGCAGATGTTAGCATCTTTACCACAATATACCTGTTTATTTTTAGGACAATGTGATAGACCTCCACATGTACCTCTGGCTACCCTGTCAGAGGAGTCTGGCAGCCTGAATGATTTCCCAGAAGGAATTACTGTGATTTACGTCTGTAATCCAGGATACAGTCAGAGGGGCGGATGGCCTGAAATTATCTGTAGTAAGAAAAGCTGGACCAGTCTGACTCTGCGCTGTGAACGTGAGTGTGCTTCTAATGATTTAAAATGCATCTTCAGAGTTTTTTTCTGCAAATAAGATTAATGCAAAAGAGCAAGGAGGCCTCACCTGAAAGTGGAAAAACGTGTCAGTAGCAGTTTCAATATTTTCAAGAGAAAATGTTCAATTTTAGCTTTCCTCACGACATACTTGTGTTCTAAAAAAAACGATTCACAGTTCCCTAATGAAAGCATTGTGGATGGTGGAATTTTAATAGATTTTAACATGCATGACTAATTAAATTCATTACAGAATTGGAGTTCTAAAGAAAGTTTGGGAGGGATGAAGGCAGCCAAACTAATTAAGATTAGCTGCCACAACTCGCAAGTAATCCTGATGTAATTGCCTCATCTATACTACATGTGACCTTTTCTTGTTCTTTGATTGTTTTTGCATCCCTCCTCCACCCCATGTCCATGTCTGCTGCTATTTCTTGGTCACCTTTTCACTAAGCAGGGGTGTCCTAGCCTCCCCGTCCTCTAGCCTGCAGGTTGGCCCTCAGCCAAGCGAGTTAAGACAAACTTTTCACAAAACTCAAATGATTCTACTGTCACACAGTGAGTGAGTGTCATACTGTTTTCTTTGCTTTCTATCTAGCCAAGTCTTGTGGGTCCCCAGGAGAAATAGTTAATGGACGTTATCATCTTCCAAAAGGTGTCCTTTTTGGGTCACATGCTATAGCTTCTTGTGTTGAAGGGTGAGTGCCATCTTGTGTGTGAAATCAGAAAGAGCCTGGTTCTGACTTCGAGAAGCAATAACTTGCCTTTCATGGTTCCAGAAAATAGATCTTAGGGCAGAATTGGCAGGGCCCAATTTCATCTTGGTAATGGAGGCATGCTATCACAGGCAGTATTAATATATGGTAATTGTAAGATGGGCCAACATCTTGATAAATGTTGTATAAATATTTAGTGTAGATCCATTGGGGTGATTATCTAGGCAAAATGCAACATTTACTATGATGGCATTTCAAAATGTAAATGGGACTCATAAAAACAAATGTATTTGTTTGCTCATTTGTTAGACTGCTTCACTTCTCTACACAATCCCCCGGTTTTGAAAGATATACATTCCAATGGCTGCTTTCTTGAAACTGTCCAGATAGAAACCTTTTGGCCACTGTATGAGCCACATCTGCACTGCTTATAGGAACCCTTTGTCACTGGCAATTTTTATAGCAACATAAGAACTGTTACGATCCAGAGAAAGATGTTCAGCTTATCTAGATTGTTGTTTAAGTAGAACATTTTTTTGGAGGATCTCATCCAGCCATTTGATAGCAACTTCAACAACGTGGCTGAGGTGCTTTGTTCCCCAGACCCCCACAAAACTGTGTGTAAAAAAGTGTCTCCTGTTTCAAATTGTTTGAAATGCACTTCGTCGTCGTATGCACTCATGTCCTCTGATTTGGGCTTCACCGTCCACCAGGTTTTCTTCGGCAGTGACTTTAAAATAGTTAAATACTTGAAATAGGTTGCTGTGTTTCTATGTTGAGGGTTAAAAAGATTCAGAAACCATCTTCCAGCAATCCAAGGAGGTGCACACCAGATGGGGGAAGATACTGTACAAACTGTGAATGAATGTCATAGTTCTGTCTGTTCATAATGCCATAGACTTGAATTTGAATTAACATTTATTGCTTCCAAGGGAATTTGTCTTGCACAATCGGAACTCATAAACATATAACATATATGACAATAATACAATATTACAACAGTACCATACATGATACAAAACAACATTTGACAGCATTGCTCAATCAGAACTCTTGGTGTCATTAAAGCCTTGTACCCTTCATGGAGTAAAGAATCACAATCACCAGTGCAGTATATTGCAATAGTCCAGAAAAGTGTGGTAAGGTATGTTGTTTCAGGATAACACAGTACTCAGACAACAATCCACAGTCTGAACAGAGTTAACTTCTGAACTGTTATCATATGCTCCTCAAAGGCGTCCTTAAAGATTTGCTAGCAGTTGCAGTATACACTGCATTCCAAACCTTCAATCAGGAAGCCTATGAGTCATTGAAATGCATGAGTCTCAATACAGGGGGACTGTTGAGAGAAGTGGTAGTCCAGTAAAGTGTACTTGTTCTTTAGTGTTTGAAATATTCCTGTAAAACTGTACTTTTATAGTGGATGGAAAAAGGAATACATTTTTAATATTTGGACCATGTTTCATTTAGCATATCTGGAATGAGTTCCTGTTTATGTTGGTAATGTACTCGCTGTTTTATTAAAGTTATAATCCCCCTCCCATTCCTACCATTCTGTGTTTTTGTTTGTCTTGTGTACAGATACGTCTTGGTGGGCAGAAAAACCAGAGAGTGCTTAGCTGGCGCCTGGAGTAGTAATATTCCTGTATGTGAAAGTAAGTAGACTAATCTGCTCTGAAGCCAAGCCCTTCATTTTTTAATCAAGGCCTTGAATGGTTTCAGTTTTTTTTTTTTGTTGTTTAATATTTTGCTTGGGGATGTTACATCACAGCTGACCAGGATTTTCTAGTTGTCTTTTCTGGTCCAAAGGAACTAACCTCACAAACATTACTTCCTTAGTTTGTTACTATTTAGACTTCAAGCATTGTATAAGCTTCCAGCTTCTATTAATATCAGTAACAATTAAACCTGGCTCCAACTTTGAAGCCCTTCATTTGTTTTCAACTCAAACTTTTGTTCCATAGTTTTCTTTTAGCAACAAAACAGAAACTTTAGTCATTCAAACCTTCCTAACATAAAACAATAGGCTGTGCCCTTTTATACCCTGGGAAACAAGTTAATCACCCACAGCTGAGCCTCGTTACACAAGAATCGAGCTAATCTGTGTTTCCTTTGGCCTACTGATGATGTTAGAAATTCTGAACAGGACAGAGGAAACTACAAGTTTTAGTACACAGGGATATAGTGAGTAAAGACAAATACAAATGCAAAACATCTCATATTCTTTCTATTACCTGCCCCAGAGTCTGTTTTTTAGATAGTTGTCACAGGCTCCAGATCCATTCATCTGTGCATCTTTGTTTCAAGAAAGAACCAAGAGCAGAACAATTATTTAATAATGAACCCATGTAGCTGGAGATAAAACGTCTTTCGTAATCATTTGCGTACTACAATTTGTTTATATTGACAAAAGGAATGGCATGTGCTAAGACAGATTTTAGTCATGCTCTCTTAACAGTTCAGAAGTTAGATTTAAAGCACCTGTAGTTTCTAAGGTAACAAAGACCACAGCAGAATGAGCAAAATGTCATATTGTTACAGCACAGGCTGTTACTGTGCTCACACCAAGTGCCCTGACTTGCTTGATCTAAAAAAATATTTTTTCCGCTTTCTTCCATCTCTTCTCTCATAGAGTCGTCAGTGCCTGACTAACTCCTTTTTTCCTTATATTATGCTCAAATAACCAAGAATCTCATTCAATTCCAGACGTTACCTAATGATAATGCACAGTACCGCTAGACAAAAGCACTGTACTTTCCCAAAATGAAGACAATGAGAACCATTTTTAGAAAATTTGGAATTGTCATTTGTTTGTATTACATTTGTGCAAATGTAAAAGAAGCAGTTGTTCAAGATGGTTTTCTGGCAGCAACCCACACAGAATGAATGAGGATGAGTACTCCAGTGTGTTCACGTTTCAAATTGCTGACTGGAGGAGTTTGTCTGCTTCTCATTAACATCCCTGGAGGTCTAAAGGCTCCAGAAAAGTCATACGAGATGCCTTTTTCTGGAAAATAGAGTCCTGTCCAGCTACAGTAATTCCAACTTTTTCTTGTTCAAGGAGTCATGGTCATGCCTGACTGGTGACAGCGACTAGTTCACACCGATCGAGAAGTGCCATTGCTGGCAAGAGGCAGGACTGGCTGGCTGTTTGTGAGTGACAGTCTAGACAGCCCTGGCCAGTTGGCACTCATCATCCTACAGTGGCAATCTGCCAGCTGAATTTTGCTACTCAGAACAGGGCTCATCATGTGCTGTTTGTGCCATCTAGATGCCCCCATCCCCAGGGGGAAAATGCTTTTTTTCACTTTTTTACTGCATATTGATAAATGTTTGAAGACCGATGTCTGAAAACCAATGTGCTCGTTTAAAATTAAAAACATCTGCTTCCCACAGTCATCAAATGCCCAAGTCCTCCTGAAATTGAGAATGGTGAAATCCTGTCCTTTTTCTCCGGTGATGTTAAATATGGAGATGTTATACAGTACAAGTGCAACAAATTCCACTTAATTGGGGAGAAAGAAATCTATTGTACCAAGGATGGGAACTACAGTGGGCCTCCTCCCAAATGCAAAGGTACAGCAATGAATGAATATTATTGTGTATATAACTTCATTATATTGGTTATTTCTGGGCTGCAAGTATAACTAATCAATAAGGAAGGCAAAATAAAATATTGAAACTATTTTGTCCCATTAATGTATTGAAATATTTGAACTGTCATGTGTTTTTGAAATTTTAAATTTAGATGTGTGTTTTGCTTGCAATTTATTACCATATCTTTACTTAAAATATATGAGAATGATGGGACCAGAAACAAATGCTCAGTTAAACAAGGGTATTCAGTTAAAGACATACTTAATAGAAAACATTATCATGGTGGTTGGTTAAACATGATCTTTTTCACTCTTTCTCTGCAGATATTACATGCAAAACTCCTACTGTACATGATGGCAAAAAAGTGTATGGGCGTCTACCACCCTATAAATACAAAGATATTGTTTCTTTTACTTGCAATTATGGATATAAGCTCATAGGATCCAGCACTATCACATGTGAAGAACACGGCTGGTTGCCCAAGATCCCTTGGTGCATTAAAAGTAAGTCTAAAGAGCAAATCTTTGTTCTTTGTCATTGAAGCTGCGTGGGACAAGATGTCCAAAATCTGGAAAATAATTTCTTATTGTTTGGAATTGATGGGATATAACATTCAAAGGTACAGTGAGGAATTATGGCCCCTGCTTCTTTACAGAACTGCTTCAAGTAGAGGACATGTGCACAAACCTATCATTTCTGGTCCATCCATAACATTTCAGTTAGGTTAAACTTACTTAGATCAGACTTTGTGAAATTTCTTTTTGTTCAGCCATTTTGTTGTAGATTTGCTTGAATGTTTAGGATCATTGTCCTGCCACATGACTCACTTTTGGTTCTGCTTCAGCTGATGAATGGATGGCTTGATGTTCTCCTCCAGAATTAGCCCATCTATTCCATCTATGATAGCAAACTGTTTAGGTTTTGAGGCAGTAAAGGAGTCCCAAACCGCAATACTCCCACCATCACGCTTGATAGAAGATAATTTCTTATTCTGGACAAGAAGTAGAACTTTTGCCTTGTGTGTTCAGTGAACATTCTTCTAGTAGTTTTGCCAATCCAAAAGCTCTTGGGCAAACTTGAGATGGGCGTCATTATGTTAAGGGTTTCAAAACAAAGTCAACTCTAGTTGAACGCATTTCTCGAAAAATGGCCTAAATTGTGTAATGGAGAAACTTAGAAAAAAATCTGAGAAACCAAAGTTATCGTCAAACAGGATATTAGGATGTTCACAGCTCTTATATGAACGGCTAATTATCCAACAAAAAAAGTTGATGTTGTGACAATCAATAGACACCCATCAGACAATTGTCTGAATATCTTTTCTGCTTCAAAATAAAATACAATTAAATGATCAATTCCAATATGTTTGGAAGGAACTGTAATATCTCACAAATAACACAACCCAAGCCAGATACAGCACCCAAGCACAGTACAGTATTTTCACACATGTTTAAAAAAAACATAATAAAATGCACACAAATCAAAACAAATACAATGATAATAAGAGAAAAGTGCAAAATCATTGTGATATTTAAAACATCAAAAGATTTTTTATTACATTTTGCGATTGTTTTGTCTAATTTCCAATCCCGCAAAAAAGTTCAAATTGTTCTCCAGTGAAAGATCCAATTCCTTTTATTATTTAAGATTTGTAATACAGGCATATGACAGTATTCAGTGGGTAGCTGCATCAGAATGCGTAGGCTGCACAAGAACAAGTATTAGGTTTATTCCATGCTGAAAAGAGAAGAATGAAAACAACGTTTCGGCTGTGGAGCCTTCTTTGGGTGTGAGTGTTACGCTGGGTGGTGACAGAGTCAAAAGAAAAAGTGTTAAATTTCAGGCAAAATCCTTTAGGAATTATATCATAATGACACCATCTGTAAAGGAATAGGAAGTGGTTAGAAAACCTTGTCTTGGAACAGATCGCTGTGAAGAGACAGAATGCTGGTTTAGTAAGAGAGGGAGGAAGAGAAGGAATGACGAAGCGATCTAGAAAAAGATTTTGTGGAAGGCATAGTGGGTTGCAGCCGAAGTAGGTTGAAGTAGTTCAGGTGGGTAGCTGCATCAGCATGTGTAAGCTGCAAAGGAACAATAAGTTTATCCCATGATGAAAGAGAAGAAGGAAAACAACATTTCGGCTGTGGAGCCTTCTTCGGACATCCGTCGGACATAGGACACTTGTTATTATACTGTTTTTTTTTTCAGATAGAATATTTCTCTTATTTCTGGCACAGCTTGAATGCCACAAGCCAGGAGTCATGGTTTCAAGCCATGTCAAGGGTAATGTCAATAGATATCTGTGACCTGCTGAGGGCAGGGTGAGATTAGCTGGCCAAGGATTTCCTGTTAAATGGAAGAATGGCCGGAAGAAGAAAATGATTTTAAAAATACAATTGTAAAAAATGTTGGTTAATCTGTTTTTTTTTTATAGACAATGAAGTCACAACCACAACTCCAAGTCCAGACAAACCTTGTAAGTTTGTTTTTTTCCTTACCTTTCCAATTCATATTGCTATATAAAGCAAAATACTTAAGTTAGAAATATATAAATATATAAAGTTAACACAAATTATTTTACACTCTCATTTTTTTGTAGGTGATCTATGGTGCAGAATTCAAAATTTTGTGTTTTCATGGCTATGAAACGTGTAAAGGTCAGTCACTTTTTCAAGTCCTACATGGAATAAACAATTGAAGTAAGAACATGTATGTGTCAAGTGAGGTTTAAATACTAAACAGACAAATCACTAACATTGTTAAGTATAATTTGAACTGGTGTTTGACAATTATGAGATTGAAACATCATTGTATAAAAATAAACCATGGTTTTAAACTGAAATCAGAAGTGTGTGATTTAAAAGAAGCTAGAAAAAGTGGTTTTATTACAAAGCTGAATCACTTGGCTACTGGTGCACACATTTACTGTATAAGCTTCAACTGGTCATTCTATTTTATCTCCTATGAATAAAACATTTGGGATTAAAGATCTTCAGGGCCTCAATAAAGTATTGTTTAGGGTCGTGACTCATAACTGGAAGATTGTGGGGCTGAGATCTGAAATGGTATTCTTTGTATTCTGCTGTATTCTTGAGCAAAGGCCCCCAACCCACATTGCTGAAGTAAAATGTGCAGCTGTGTCACTTTAGATAAAAGTACCAGCTTAATAAATAATGTATAGTAAAGCAGTGTCCTTAAGTGACATTTTAGTCCTAGAACAGTAAAAAAAAAAACAGTAAAAGCATAAGTTGTGCGCAGCATAGCAGGTAATTGTTTATTGAGGATAAAAATACAGTAAAAATTATATATGAAGATTTCATACATGTTTATATAAGACATCAATAATGTCTATCAAATATTGGATATTTTAACATAAATGGCATTGATGTTTTACAGGAACTAACGAAACTAAAAATCAATAAATCACCAAGTACTATTGGTTCCTAGTCATGGAATTCTAGTTAGGATTATTGAAGTGTTATTTAAAATGAGAGTCGTACCAGATGTCACATTGATTTCTAAATAAGGGTACAAAACTATAAACCAGTCAGTCTTATATCTGTTACTGGTAAAGTTCTGAAAATGACAGACCTAAATTACAAGAATATACTGTACAGCATATCAATAGCATTTTAAGAGACAGTCAACATGGATTTAAAAAGGGAGGGTCTTGTTAAACTACAGTTCTTCAGACAAGGAACAAGTATAACAGATAAGCATAAAACCCAAAATATTTAGACTTTCAGGAAATTCTTGATAAGGTCCCTCATAAAAGATTAATTTTCATAATAAAATGCATAGGATCCAAAGTAATGTACTGTAAGCGCATGGATCAAGAACTGATTAACAAACAGTCAAACCAATTTATCATCTTAGGTCAACTTCTAATTGGTTAGAAGTAAGCCAGGTGTCCCTCAATGATCTGCTTTTCAGATAATGGAAAAATGGGGGTTGTGGTAAACAGAAATAGAAGTAATAGAATTACAAAGATTTAGAGAAAATCACAGAGTGGGCAAAAACGCCAACTGAAAATAAGTGGAAATAGATTCACAATGTTAGACTACTGTATATACAGTAGTTTATTGTACAAGTATTAAAATTCTTGCACAGTTTTTACATCTTACTGCTTTAAAGTTTGCAGTCAAAACACTTTGAAGTAATTAATAATAATCAATTATTATTATATGTTCAACATATTGTATATTTTTTTCAGTCACACCAGTGTGGCTTTGGACTTGTGCTTGGAAAAATGAATTCTCCACCAATTTTAAGTCTTTAGTTGACTGAAACAGGTTTTCCACCTAGTATTTGCCTGTACATTGCTCCATCCATTTTTCTACTCAAAAAGGCTATGATTTTACTGCCACAGTTATTTCCCACCAAACACTTTTGTCTGAAAACGTGTGCAATCAACAGGTTTTATTTCTAGTTTTGCTGACATTTACTTTATCTTTTATCTTACTCTAAGAAGTAATCAAATACAGCATTTGGGTTCTGAATAAACTATTAAGTACAAAGAAACTGCACGTACTATATCACTTTGTAATTTCATAAAATGGGACATCCTAGGAAGAGTCAGATATAGTACTTTTATATAGCACTGTAAACAGTCTTAAAAAAATGTACCATGAATACTCACACGAATTATAGTACGGCATATTCATTAGCTCTCTTTCATTATATAACACTGCAGTTTCCAAATGAATGGAGGCCATTAGGTCCATCTAAATATACTTATAAATAATGAATATATATAAAAAATGAGACAAAGACATTATTCCATTTTTTATTCCATTTATTAACTAATGCTGTGATGGTTTTTTAGTAATATACAGTAGCTTCTGACTTGAATATTAATCAAGCTTTTGCAGAAAAATAAAGTTTTCATATCATCAAAAATATATTATTAATAATTTGAAAGACAAGGAAAGAAAGGAATTTCACATTATGGAATTCAGTTTTCCCAGATTATCATTATTTCTTTCTTTTAAAGGACCTTCTTTTAAAGGAATAAACTGTCTTGTAAATATCTAAACATTAAGAATCCGATTCCTTATTTGTATTAATATCCTGGGCCATTTGTTTACTTTAATTGTGTTCTGGAATTATATTTTTGTATAAGTAAAAACTGTTCTTAATGCCTAAGAGGCCTAAAAATGTCTGAAACTGGTGTGGGGCACACGTGTTGCTTAAACTAGCACGAAGGCAGTGCATTAAGCATATTACCACCTACCCACAACCAAGCATGTCGAAACAACACAGTAGTCAATTTTCTAGGTTGAAGTTTCCACCAACCCATTTCAGAACCTGGTTTAGGTAATCACACTGGACCAGGTCTTGACAGGGCACACAGTCATTCCCCATCCATGCAGTCAGTTAGAAACCCCAATTAGTCTGGGCAGAGGGTCTTTGAACTGAGGGAGGGATCCAGTGCACCAGGAGAAAATGGGGGGAACATGCAGTCCGATTATCTAGAGCTAGAATGGAACCCAGGACCCAAGACCGGTGATGCAGAAGCACTGACTGCTGTTTGATTACATTCTGACTTCTAAAAAAGGCAGAAGGGTTGCCTCTCACACACAGGAACCAAAGAGTGTGTGTTTACATATACTGTACCTCTGATATGTAGTATGCAAACTCTTCTTTGGATATTTTTCTATGTATATTTCTTAATCATTAAAGACTCTTAAATGTGTTAAAGTAAACAAATCACACAGGATAAAGAAAGGGGCCGTTAACAAGGGTTAGTGTTAATATTTAAGGTCATGGTATAATGGTAAGGTGCTCAAGAGTCTTTTAAAGGCTTCTGTGTTACCTGAATTATAAAAATACAAACGTTATTTCTGACCAAATCGGTTGTGAAAACAAGTATGACACAATATGTCATTCTTAATAAACATTCGATTAAATATTTTAACGTTGTTGATTTTGTATACAGAGTGCAGGTATAAATTCATTCCACGCAGTCCCATGGCTTATAATCCAGTGAGGAGAAAAGTTGTGCTGTTCCATATCGTTGAGTTTCCATTGATAATCTTGCAATTTTGTTAATCTGTTAAGAAAAGATGAAAATTGATATTTTATTGTTTTATACAACAAAAAGGAAATAAGTATAGGTATTAGATATGCTGTATAGTAAAACTACTGAATCCATTTCTCCTTGTCTTAATCCTGCGATGTTATTCTGTCTAGAAGTCAAAGTTAACTGTCTAGACTATTAACAACACACTTAAATAGCCACCTACTTCATCATTTTGACTTGTCAATCAGTGATTTTAACCAACTCAAATTAGTAACTGGGTAAATTTGTTTTTAAAACATCTCTTGAACTTTTATATGTGAAAGCAATGAAAATGCCCTTTCAAGGCAAACATTTTATAAACCGCTATTATAAAAATATGAATAGTAATTTTTACTTTTCATTACATTTTTCAATAGCGGAACAAACATAAACAGCACTATCATTTCTGTAACACATGGTGACACTATTGAAAATGAAGCATATTTTCCAGCCCAGAAATGGCATATGCCAGGAAACATGATGCTTGGTGGTTAGAAATACAACAGGTTGTTTTTCTTCCTTCTAGTATTACTGTCAGCCTCCACACTCACACAGATATTCACACTTGGGAAGATAAGGGTACCACTGGCCGTTTCGATCACACCAAATGCTGCTTGGACCATTCAGCCTGTATCCATAGCCACAGCTTAGGGTTACAGTGTCTCCAGTTGTAAACCGCGATTTGTACCCATCCTGTATTCCAGCTAAATCCACGGATGGATAAGGACATTCAGCTTCTGCAGAGAGACAAGGGACAGAGGCTGTATCTTAAGAACGATTGCAGAGCACCTTACAAAGAACAAAGGATTAACAACATGTTTATATATAACTTTTATCAATGCATTCCAAAGAGGCAAAATAAAAAAAAGTTAACTGCGGAATAATATTGATATTTTGGCTTTAACACAATAACTTTTGAGCGACGACCCAAACGTCTAGTAATAAAGAAAGAGACTCTTCTACAGGCAGTGCTTGATGAGTGACACGAAACATCCATCTGTAGGTATTCATACCCTGGAGCCTCTGACAGGAGGGATCTGGGACTTGTATTATTCCCAGCCTTTTACTGTTGCTGTTTGTGGCCGTTGCAGTTCCGCGCAGGCTCGTGCCCTCCACCGCTCCACCCTGCCCCTTTGGTCCCGCAACACCTGGGCGTGAACCTGGGTCTCCGGTGTAATGCAACAGGGAACCAGCCGCATGAGCTAAAGGAGACCTCCCTCAGCCCAGGTGGCTGAGGCCCCTGCTACGCGCAGGGAGGGTGATGATGTCACCGTGTCTCAACTAGCTCCACTACATGTTTGGGGAATACTCCATTAATTATCAGTATTCAATGGGTATGGAAGGAAATTTAAGTCACCTCTTATGATGATTTTTCTAATAAATGTAAACAATATAAAAACACCCTGATACAAATCTTCCCAGATGTAAAGATGACAATAAAATTAATCATTTAATCTAATTTCCACATTTAACATCAGGTAGAACTTTTCTAAATTAAGATGACAGAATTAAAAGCAAAAGACATGGTTTAGACGTTTTCTGCTCTCGTTTTACCTTGTGCTGACCTGAACTATATACTCACTTGAACTTTCACATGTGGGAACGGAGGGTTTCCATTGGCCATCTTTATCACAGGTAATCTTGCTGTGACCGTTTAGCTGGTATCTATAATCACATTCGATGGTTACGGAGTGTCCATATATGTATTGGCCACTGGAACCCTGAATTATTTTACCAGCATGTACTAGAGGGGAAGAACATTGAACTTCTGCATAAAGGAAAAGGGACAGAGACAGAATCAGACTCACAAATTTACACAGGACACATTCACATGGAATAATGTGTAACTTAATTCTAAAACAGTATGCACCGTGCCAAGATATTCAAGGCTTTATTCATGGCAAGGGTATGAGGCACTGTACATACTGTTTTAATAGAGCTAAAGGCTGTATATGTTTTCAATCACATATTAAATATATAGTTTTATTTTAATTTTAAGACCCATTTTTACCCTTTCTACCTGTAGTGCTTGAATTTTAAATGTTCTGGAGTCAGAATTTGTATCCTGATGTCTTCGGTAACTTTTTTTGTCCCTTTTGTCCCTTGGCTGGGTCAATCTGTGTCCTGAAAATATCTTGCAATAGATTCTGTGTAGATTATATCACCTTCTCGCACACCTTTTGTTGCACTTGTTTAGCCACTGCAGCAAAGGTGAACATGCTTTCTCAAAACCTTTGTTTTTTTCAAGTGTCCCAGACATAACCTGTACAGAGTTAAATGCCTTCTCAGTATTTCACGCTGTTAACATGCTTTAATTATTTGTCCAGCTGCTGTAGGACAGTCAGTAATGCCACATTTGTTCCACAATTTCTACAGGCTTTTTCAGCTTTCAATTTCTCACTATGCACCCTCTTTCTTGATTGTTATTACACACGTTTTCAATCATTGTTCAGTTTCTTAATGCTGACATTGTTTTGAATTATCTGACTGAGCACTTCACATAACTGAATGACCTCCAGCAAGAGCAAAGGTACCTTACATAGAGTGCTTCATTACAATGAGGGACATAAGAAGAGGGGGACACCTGAAGAAGGCTCCACAGCTTTATGTTGGGAGACAAACACTACAGTCACTTACTAACACATGCTGGGAGATGAGACCACTTGCCATCTGCTTCACACATTGCCATGCTGGGTCCATTCAGCTTGTACCCCAAATCACACTCAAAAGCCACTGTTTCTCTGTATTTATATGTTGATCTACGACCTCTTATCTGTCTTCCGTTGGTCACAACAGGATTCATGCAATAAACCTCTGTGAAACACATAAACAGTGTGTGTCATAAAGATGTACTGGTACCATCACAGTCTTGCCATGATGGCACACAGGCAGCACAAAACATCTGCTGGCATCAAAATACTGAAATTAAACTTTTTTTTTTAATCAAGTGACACAAACCCCACTGCATTATACAGGACGCAGTGGTTTTGGAACATTAAGAAAATTAAACAATAATTCTTCTCATTTCCCTTTTCACAAAAAAAAATCTTTTTGTCTTCCACCCAAAGCATATTTTTAATAGCCTATACTTAACATAATAACGGTTTTATAAAGGTACTTTTAAGAGCAATGATCTCAAAGCCATTTATATTTCACAAAATAAAAGTACAGAAAATTACGAAGATGGAAAAACCGACGCAAGCCACCTAATAGTAACAAAAATCGAAGGCTTGTACCTTTACACTGTGGGAGTGGCCTGCTCCAGGTGCCGTTCTGAGTACAGAAAATCTCCTTGTCCCCAATGAGCTGCCCTCTCAGACACCTGTAGCTGATCACACTGTTGAAGTCAAAGGGCCCTTCCTCCAGGCCTGCCACTTCACCATCGGTCACCTCTGGAGGGTCGGGACATCTCACAGCTGGATGCGAAAGGTAAGAATATATCAGACAAGCCCAGATGTTTGACATTGCTTGACATTTTTAACCTCACAAAAATGCTACGTGTTTTCAAGTGGTACAGAGTTGGTGCTTCTAAAATAAAACATGCACTCTGCCCTGTTTCATGTATAAAATGTGACCTGAATGAAATTGGTTTAATATGAGCCCAATGGCTCTTCCTGGTCACTGCTGTGATGTTATAAGGTGTGGTGTGCTAGGAATGACTCACTGCTGTCATCTTACTTGCAATGCTTTAGCTGAAGAGGAGGGAGGGGAGGTCTAGCTATAAATTACGCTACATAAATGTAAGGTGTCACCATAGTACATCATCTTCAATGGCACCCTTTACCAAATGTATGAGATAATATGTCCAAAAGGCCTAATTTTTCATCTTCATCAAAGAAACCCCATGTCACCCAACTGATACAGTGGGTCAAAACTGGGTGTGAAGTTTCCAGTGTAAATCAGGGGTCTCCAACCCTGGTCCTGCAGAGCACTAGACCACTTGTTTTGAAAGACTGGGAATATCCATGAGCTACTGAACAATGTAAGCAAGTAATCTGTTCAATTAAAAGAACTCTAGTGCTAAAGAGCAGAAGGGTACTTAAGACTTTAGACCTCAATGATCTCTATGTTGTTTAACAAATCATTTATTTAATTGATCAAAATGGCATTGTACTTAATCTTCAGAAACTGAAGGTTTAATGGTGACCTACAGGATCCCTGCTGTAAGAGCTTCAGTGTGTCAGATGAGTTGTACTACTTACTTTCACAATGTGGAATGTCACCACTCCAACCTGAGGCAAGACAATCTCTGTATCCCCTGCCCACCAACTGGTACCTGGACACAGGGGAAGAGATGTGTGGGATAGAGATTTTATTACTTCTAATGATGAAGAGAGCATAATTTAATTACCATCTAAACTAAAGACATAGCATTGTTAATGCTGGTTCTAGCATCCTGCTCTCTAAGCAAACACGGTGTACAGTGCCATCTTTTAAAAACCGAATCTGAGTCAATACTTAAATTACAACATATCAGATGGGAAATAGGCAAAAAAAAAGATTTCCTTGGAATTGTTATTTCTCACCCCTCATCACACACAGCGGTTGCCCGAGAACCAAAATGGACCCCATCATACATGAAACGCCCATTCCTAATCTCTCCAGCAGAGCCACAGGACTTCGCTGAAAAATATATCACCAAGAAAAAAAACAACAATTAACTTTTCTGTTTTGGTCTGGCTGCAATGCTATGAATGAATATTTTTAGTGCTGTGTCAGAAATATAAAGAAGTCTACTGTATATGCTAAAGGCCGTGTCCCAATATGCACGCTTTCAGTCTTGCGTCCTTCAGATGCGGGTTCCCGCTCAAGTGTGCAAGGAACAGGGTGTCCCATTTCTAAATTTGCGTTTCACAAGGGTGCTCAAAAAGACTTTTCCATAACTTCTAACCAAATTTCCATGACTATATTTCTGCACTTTCATGAATAAGTTGGCCTTACAACTGCTACAGTAATCTGTGGGATTTAGAGCAGTGGTAGTTAATTCATTCCTTGGGGGCCCTGTCCTGCACATTTTCCCTCTGACCCAACTCTTGCACACCTGTTTCAACTAAGGGTTTGGTGATTTGGTTATTAGTTCTTTCAGGTGTGCAAGAGCTTAGTTAGAGGAAATATACATAGGCCAGTTCAATACCACTAAGCATAAATACAACTACAACTTACAGAATGACCAATATATCTCAGTGAAAGGTCACCCTTATGATTTATTTCTTAGGAAATGTTTACAAAAAACAACAACAATCAAAACAATAAATAAAAGTGTCTACAGTTGCTATAGATTTTTCTGATACAAAACTTTAATTTGAAATACATTCTTGCATGGCATTACTTTTCTTTTACCTGAACAGCATGTTTATTCCTAGAACACGAGCAACATTCCTCATCAGTAAGCCCAAATAGGATAGGGAAATACTGTATATGGCCTTTTTCAATCCTGAAATGTTTCACTGCGTAAACACAAACTCTTTTCTGCCTGAATAATTTCACATACCTCAACATGTTGACAAACTAAACATAGTTCCTGCAATATTAATATTGAAAGGTTTCATTTGTAAATCAGATCAGTCTAAATGGATTTATGAGAGCGGGTTGTGCATCTTCTCCATAATGTCCCAACAGTTGCGTGCCCCCTAAACTCCGAGCCCACGTACCTAGCTTTCACTTCTCCACTATTCCAAATCCTCACATGCACATTAAATCCATCTGCATGAGTTGCAGTGCATGATTAAGAATCTCATCAAAATGCAGGGCATATCCTGCTTGTCGTGACACGTCTCTGACAATCAGCGATTTAAAATAGGGAGCAATTCCGAAAGTGGTCAAATATGCAGATTTTGTTTTGCCACAACAACACTTAGCTGCCATTTTGCCGTCACAGAACATTGTTTTAAATAGTTGCCCAACGCTGGCGCACGATTTGTACGAATAATGTGAATCAATTGCTTTCAGCGCCCACAAAACTTCAGCAGAAAGTACATAATTGTAAAACGCTGATATCTGTGTTTGCTTGGCTGTCTCACTCCGTGAGGTGATTGTGGTAACTTTCGCTGTGCTATCTGCAAATGAGTTGACAGATTCCAATTGTTTCTCTTGCAGCCTTATTATTGTCAATGTGTTTTTTACCCTTCGCGTGGCTTGCTAGCGCAGCTTCACCCATATTCTTCAAGTCAAAGGTTTCCCCGCATAATTAACATCTCGCACGTCCTGGGTCTTCATCTTTTTGGAGCCATAGTTTGTATTTTTCATCTGCTAACCAGAGGTCACTGAAAACACATCTACTCGGCATTTTGACATAGGCACTAAGCTAGCTTTAACGGCTCACTTTAAAATTCCCTCCAGAGGGTCTGACGCGACACTGTAATTTTTCAATGTTAGCAAAGGCAATGCCGCTGCATCTTTTTAAAAGTTTGCTTTTATTAAAGGGCATGATAATTTGGTGTCAATTTTAAATAAATACGTGACTTTTCCAAAACATAATGGATATTTGATCATTTTTCAAAACTTTTCCAGGTCTGGAAAATGAACTTTAATTTTCCATAACTTTTCCAGGATTACCATGACAGTGTGAATAATTTATGTAAAAACAAAATTTCATTAGGCTACTTTAGATTCATACTTTTGTATTCTTGGTACAACGTTTTGACATAAAGCTTTTATTTCGTCACCTCATTTTGACTGATTAATATTCTTTTACCTGCAGAGTATTGTGTTAATAGTATGCGTATTTAATAATACAAAGCTTTGAGGTATGGCCAAGTTTACCTTATTTAATTTACTTTGAATGAATGGGAATGAACACATAATGTTCCTCGTACTGTCATTTTTGTACTGGGACAGTCGACATGAAATACATTTAATACTGCAAAGCTTTTAATAAACAGAGAGTGGTATTGCCAAGTTTTCCTTAGCGTATTGTACTTCATTCATTTTAAGTCGAGCCTGCTCAACATGAACACAATGTGTCACTACTTTTGTGCAAGGATAGATAAGCGGAGAATTTAAAGATTATCCACTAACATGCACTTAGCCACCGGCAAAAAAGCATCAACAACAGACAGCATTCTTACTGTGAGCCGTGAAACCAACGAGTGACATCACGCAAGGTTGTCCCATTACCCCCTTTATAACGATGCACACTTCAAGTCTACACTTAGCTACATCACAGAATTGCGGATTTGGAGGAAGGGCTTAGGGCTCAGTACAAGAATTGGGACACAGCAAAGCTCTGGTTTCCTCACACAGTCCAAAAACATATGGGTAGGGTCTGGTATGAGTGTCTGCCAAGTGATGGACTGGAGTCTTGTCCAGGGTGTCTCCTGCCTTGCATCTGTTGTATGTTGGGATAGGCTCTCATTTCCCTGAAACCCTAGAATGAATGAAGGGTTTAGAAAATGGCTGGGTGAATGTATATGCTAAAAATAGTGGTCATTAAAAGAACATAGTCCTGTGCAGTGTCTAGCGACTAGACACTCCTAATGTGCAAAAAGGGACTTCTTTGCTGGGCAGTGCAGGTAAGCTTCACACACCATCGTAATCTATCGCATTAATTAACACTAGTGACACCCCTAAAACCATGTGGTGATCCAGTTTGCAAACAACAACTGCTTTGCTGCCTCCTCATACTGCTGATGCTCAGGTGCTTGTGACCTGGCATTTCAGATGCAGTGGAACTGCAGTGTGAAAATGATCACAAAGACGAAGCATGATGAGCTGTTGGTCTTGGTGAGGGGAGGTGAGGTCTTGGTGAACAGACTGTGTTTGGCTGTAATGTCTTGCCAATGAAAAGCCTAATGGAAAGTGACAGAGCCTTAACACAAAAGTGTTGCTCTCTTGATAAACAGGGAACAATGCTTCATTTCTGTGTGTTTCCCTAATGACTTTCATCCAACATCAGACATTCACCAGGTTACATTACCATGTAACCTGAGCCAAATAAATACTCTCACCTATACTCTTACTGCTTATACAACATTTGATGTCATTCAGGTCTCACATCTGTGTACAAGATCACACCTTATACAGTTATGCACATCAGGTCTGGCCAACAGAGGAACTGTCTTGTTCTTGCCAAGCATTTGTTTATTCTCCCAAGGTCTTCCTTGTGTTTTTTCTGCATCTCGACTCAAGAAGTGAATATCTCTTTTCATAAGCAAATCTTCAAATCTGCCCGTATTGCCAGTATGCAAACTACAATTCTTCCTCTGTAATAACTTTGGTCAAGTAAACGCCTGAAGTTACACTGCTCTGCAAGTCTGTGCACATTGGTAACCAAACTCTCCAGTGTTTTGTCTTCTTCCTGTCGGTATTTATTACTTTTGGCATAAATATTGCGTTTCCCCACAAAATTGTTTTAACACGCAAAGACCTTTAACACATCATTGTACCACAGGTTTCGTCCTTCAGTCAGTGTGAGTGGATTCAGAACAACATGTGCTTTATCACTCATTAACTGAAATTGGTTCCCTGTCAACCATTACCGGCGCAATTCAAAATAATTTCTGGATTTTTCTGAAACTCTTCTGTCAAGACACTAGCAACATTTACATTTAATATTGGTTAAAGTGTATAATTGAATACTATCGTCGTAGACATATATGTTAACATATAGAATTTGTAAAAAAGTAGGATGTAACCGCAGGCTTTTCTGGGTAACCAGAGGGATACATTCATTAATCCTACGAATGCCTCAATGATTGAAACAAAGTTGTTGTCTCACTACTATTTTTTGATGAGCTTTTACAATCACAAACTTATTGCAGTTCTGTGGTTCTTTTCTATATTTACTGTTAACATCAGCATGATTATTAGGTTTCAAGCTTTATTTCCATGTATCTAGGGTTTACACACCAAATGATGCCACTTCTCATACCATGTGTTTTACTTCTGTAATCACGCTGGCCATTCTAGCTGCTGCTGGGTAATGGTAACCATCATTTATCTTGAAAACCATCACAGGAAGCCCTCTTTTACCACAAATACTATTAAATCTTTAGTAGCATGCTACAGCAGTACTACTTAAAATTGATGTAAACCATTACATGTGCTTTAAAGTTAGTCCTCAGATCAACAAATGCTGAGAATACTCGTTTGTCCTAAATGATGCAGGGACTCATTGCTCATATCAGAATAAGACTTACACCTTCAATAAATTCAGACATATCACTTACGTTCACACTTCAGTTTCAGTTGCGTCCACTCTCCATTAATGCACTGGACAGATGAGGAGCCTCCCATTCTCCTGTACCCCAGTGCACACGTGTACATGACTTCAGCACCAGAAGCATATTCCTTCTGTGTCTGGAAGTCGACTCGGGGATGTGCATTGTTCTGGTGTGGGGGAATACTGCATTTTCCTAAGGCAGAAGCGTAAAGGTTTTTCGGACATAAAGACATCGTTATTGTGACAAATACAACTTGTCCACTTAATGTGTTAGTCACAAATCTTTTTTTCTGGTGCTTTTAAATTGTACAGATTGAAATTTAAATTTAAATTGTTCCAAGCAGCAAATTAGTATCGTATTGGAATGCATTAGTAGCATTTGTGAATCTTTATGCCTCTCTAAAATTGGCATTAATTTTAATGAACGCAATTCAAATTTACTTTGCAGTATATCAAAAAGGGGCATTCACTCTGCATCATGGTAAAAACATTTAAAGCAAATTTATAGCGAAAGGCATTAGTAGCTGCATAATGCCTCCCAGTATACTGCATTAATGTAACTGATAAAGATCAAACTGTTAAGTTTTAGATAAATCGATAAATATCTCTTAAAATTGGCTTATGTTTTTTTAACATTTAACAAATGTTAGGTATTGGGCAGTTAGTTGAAGACTGAAAGCACGTCAGTGACAGATTACCATTGAGTGCAGAACATGTCGGAATGGATGGGGACCATTCGCCATTCTCATCACAAGTTACACTGCTGGGTCCATTCAGCAGAAACCCCTCATGGCAAGCAAAAGACAGCGACTTTCTGTATTTATAAGTGTCTCTGAGCTTCCCTTTCTGGAAGCCATTTGTCACATTTGGAGAAATGCAGGTAGTTACTGACAAGATTTTGAAAAGAAGACAACAAATGATGTGATTAATATATACCGTAAAGTGAATTCCATGGAAATGATCCTTCTCATAGAAATATATACAGTGTGCCGCTGTAATGCAGGAAGCAGAAAAACTACAGAACATCGCACACCACTTTTTAAGAAAATATTTTTTTCTTCTGTCTATCCAAATACCTATTCATGAGACAAAATAAATAACTTGGAATCTGGACTTGTAAAGCTGACTTACTTTCTACCTGCTCTCAGGCACATGGTGATTTTGATGCTGGTGTCACGGACGTCCAAAGGGACTATTTTGGGGAGTAGGAGAGCAGAAAAAGACCCATATGTGTAGCGGCGAGACGGGAAAAAGGCCCGGGTTCATTAGTGCAAAGAGTTCAGGAATGCCATATAGAAACCTATGCCCTCAGGGAGAGGACGTGGGGCGCCCTGGTGCTAGGCGGGTCTCAGGACATCTGAACGTCAATGCTGAGCCAGGACAGAGTGCAAGACCTGGAAATATATAGCCCAAGGGAAAGAGAGAGACCGGAAGGACAGCAGACCGGAAACTAGGGACAGGACAGAGAAGGAGCGCCCTCTGGCTGCAGAGGGCGTGACAGCTGGTACACAATTTTGAGGACAAAAATGAGAAAGTGTGCCTGCACTGCCATGCTATTTTAATGAGCAAGGATTTTTTTCGACAGCAGATTCTTTTTAGTGATAGCTTTATGAAGACATACTGAACATCACCACCAGCAAAATAACGGGAAAGGTAAAATATATACATTTGTGAAAGATCACAGAAAACTGAAGCTATTGCAAGGCACACAACAATTTCTGTAATGTGGTGTGAAGAATCAGTCCTGATCATTTTCAGTAACTGGTCTGGGTCGGCACCTTTGTGTACCCCAACAATTGAAGTGCTGCTCTGCTTACTTTCACATTGAGGAATATCACCATCCCAGCTAGTATTCAAGCACTTTCTCTGGCCTTGACCCACCAGGCGATACCTACAGTAAACAAATAATGAGAGGCTGTGAGGAGATTATGATTTTCTATGCTATAGACTGTAATTCACTGAAGGAAGGCTGGATCCTTATCAAGCAACACTCTAGCATCTGGGTTGCTGTCCATCCCTTCTTTCCTTTCACAAATAGATCCTTATTTTCCAAATTAACACCTCTGGACACAGCACACCTCTATTTAATTTACAAGGAATATTATTATGTTCCTGCATGGAATGAAGGAAGAATGCATTATCTGCCAAATTACTACAGCAAAAGTAGTTTTAACTTTCTCCCAGAGTACTTCCTACTGTATTTGCAGGTATATAGCTGTTCGGTACCTGCTGTATATATCAGTACAATTTTAACACTACATCTTTTTAAACTGTGAAGAAGGAAGTGTATTAAGTCTACTCTGAGGAAATACCCCAACCTACATGCCTGTCCAATATTTTAAACAAAGTTTGGAATCATTGATATTTAAATAGTTGATGAAGT